GCAAACGAGCTATCACGTTTTTTCTTTGTCTTCATGCGTGGAGCCTCGAGGTGTTCAGTTCTACTTTTTTGTAATGTGGGTGAGCTCTTGAATTCTATAGGGCTCCAAGTTAGGGCCTAACTTGGCCTGGGTACAGAACTCTGCGAGCAATTTTTAACAAGTGGTGCCTAAACGTAGTACTCAGAGATAGAGATGTCAAGTAATGAGGCTATGATCGCGGTGGCTGCTGCGCTCACTGCATTCCTGCGGAGGATCAGCTGCTTCCAACGTCTCCTAGAATTTTCGACGTTCCTGAGTGCTTTTCTTCTTTCCTCTCTTCGTCTCTTTCCTTTTTCTTCTTCACCTTCTTCCTTCTTCTACTGTGCCCCAATTTACTTGAAGTAGATTATTCCACCTCTTCGAAGGTCTTTGGAGGCCTAATTTGCGTCATATTTCTCTCAAAAGAGGGCCTTGGACCATAAGTTGAACTTGGACTAGTTCGCGTAACCGTCGAAACTTGACGATTCTGAATCGAGAGTAAAATCGTCGGCAGATCCTGAAGAGACTTGTCCACAAGGTTCTTCGTTCTATTGGACTATCTATAGAGTTCTATGCCGCAGATCGCGTTGCGAAAGTTATCTCAAGTGAATTGTGGGCAAAACATTCGCCCCAGCTGGGATCCGTACCCGGATCTCCTGTTTTCCGGTCATGAAGCATCTAATAAACGTATGATATCCGGGTACGAATCCCGGCTGTGGCGAAAGTTTTGCCCACAACTCAGCATTCTTGTGATAACTTTTGCAACGCGAACTGCGGCGTAAAACAGCAGTTATCCAATAGAACAAGTCAGAAATGGTATATCCATAGTTTTTTTTGAGTTGAAGCAAGACTGTAATCTGGGCTATACGATGTTGTTGCGTAAGTCGTTATTTCTGACCTAGCGTCAGGTCACCAGACCAATTTCCTTCTGTTAGGCTCAGTCATCCCAAGAATTTCTGGCAATATCGGCGATTGTGGCGCTGTTTCGACTGCGGGTGATTAGAATACCAGAACTATTCCATCGGGTCATTGTGAGGATCTGAAGCAATCTTTCCGACTCCTTTTTGTCACAAACTTTAAATTTTTTTGTTCGCGTTTTATATTTATACTCATTTTTGAGCGTCCCTTCACAAAAGCCAATTTGGCGCTACCACAATATACGGGGCATTCCGTAGGACTAAGCCGGGAGAGTGGGCAGGAATCCCGGGAAATGAAAGTGGCTCACACCCTGGAGCCTCTCCTTCCTGCCTAAACTTAGTCGCTTTTTTCAAAAAAAAGGACGTTTTACGCTGTTATAAATGCACTGCCACCACCATGTGCCCCTTTTTGTAATAGCGCAGCCAAGTTTAGCTGGGTTGCTCTTCCTAACAAC